GAGATGCTGGATTTCCGCGCTCTTCCCACCGGATGCCTCGCCGACATCATCTCCTTAACCAGTCCTCTCGATGCCTGTAGATTGTCACTAGTTTCCCCCTTTTTCTATTCTTTTGCCAGTTCCGACGACGTTTGGGCTAAGTTCCTGCCGGCCGATTACCAGAATTTGGTTCCAGCATCGCGCTTCGTTTCTCCCTTGAAGGGACTTTATCTCAGCCTCTGCGATCATCCTGTCCTCATTGATGATGGCAAAAAGGTAAATTTATACATCCGGAGTCCCACTTCCCTTTTGATCTTTTCGTTTCTGTGTGTGCCCATATAATCTTAGTTTGATACGTTGGTTCAGAGGAAAAATAATTTACTGCTCTTTGATTCTTTTTCCTTATCCGAGTCTTTGAATTTTATATAAATTAACTGGATAATTTTATGAAACAAACAAATCATAATTGAAAAAATAAATTAATTTAAGTAAAAATATCAATAAAAATTATTCATAGAAGAAAAAATTTCAATTACTTTGTTATCTATGAGATAGCTGTTTTGGGCGGACTGTACCATTGATCTAATATCAGAGGCCTACTCCTCATCAATGATTATAAGATTTCTCATTAATAGTTAATGTTAATGTATTATATGTGCAGTCCACCCTTATTAATAGTGGGGTGGACTGCAGACTGCACATCTCTTTTCTGATTTGCATATATTCAAATATCAAAAGTTAAACTAGAATAACTGAATCAGACCAGAGATGAGGGAGTACATGTTTCCTTAATAAAATCTTACGGTCCTAAATCTGACAAACCTAGGTACAATATTAATTGTTGGCTCTTTTCAGTTTTTCATTGCAGAAGTCAAACTAGAATAACTAAATCAGACAAGAGAAGAGAGAGTACATGTTTTATTAATAGGGTCTGTTTAATTTGTACTAAAACGGTGCATATATTGCATATTGTTATCATTAATCTATTAAAAAATTAAAGCAGACATTAATTTTACCAGTTGTCTAATTAAAAATACCCAAATGGCATGAGTGTTAAAATTAATGCTAGCATTGTTATTTTTCTATGTAAATTAATGCATAAAAGGTACATTTAAGACATTCTTAACCTGATAGGGCACATGTTAGACAAACGCTTCATAATATTAATCATTGGTTCTCTTCAGTTTTTCACTCAGCAAGATACTTGAATCGATATGCATTCACTCCACATGTGCATATTGTAAGAATTTATTGTTTGGACTTAGTATGAATCACCTCAGTTTGTAGCTTAGGAAAACCAAATTCTGGTGATGCCTTCTTTTTCCGATCAATTTCTGTGTGTAGCTAATTAAGCTACTCGCTTTTTGTCTGCTGTGAATGATTTTTCCTAAGAACTTTTATCACTTTTTTTTTTTGTTTTTAAACAAACTTCTTGAAGACATTTAACATTTATTTTGCGTGTGTATTGTAGCTATATATGGCTTGTCAAGAGGCTATGATTGGATGCAATTTTCTTTTGTGTTGATAGTCCTAAATTCATGTCTATATATAAAGTAGCTACCACAAAGATTTTTATTGGTATAATGTACAACACTTATTGGATGTGTTCTCTGGGTATTCAATGCTTCTCTTTTTTGGAATATGCTTGCTAGAGGATTATGTTCTTGTTGGTGATGTAATGATTAATGATGATTAT